TATATATATATATTTAGTGAATCTCTGTGAGGTACAGTTACAGACTTATCGACTTTTCTGCTTACGTTTCAGTCATACAGTGATTGAAACTGTATCCCTCCACCAGTGCCCATTCTCCACCACCAATGTTCCCAGTATCACTCACACCACCCCAACCCTTCTCCCCAATCCCCCCCACCTCTGTGGCAGGCACATTCCCTTTTACTCTCTCTCTCTCTCTCTCCTTTTTGGTGTTTTGATTTGCAATACAGGTATTAAGTGGCCATCATGTTAGGTCTATAGTCTACTTTCAGCACACATCTCCCATCCCAAGCAGGCCTTCCAAGCATACTTCACTTGATTATCCCTTCTCTCTCTCACCTGCCTTCCCCCCCAGCATGTGAGGCTGGTGTCCAAGCTGTGGAGCAAACCTCCTGGTCTTTATCTATACTCTCCCTTGATTATTAAAAATGACCTCCGCTGTCTCTTGTAACCTTTTTCAGCCTGAAATTTTTGTCGTTGGATACTATTTTGGTGATCCTGACCTTCTGGAACAAGTTGTTTGCTTGAAGAATTGTTTTCCAGAGTTTGACTTTGAGTCTGTATATCCTCTGAATATTCAAGTATGTTTCTTATAGGCAGAAGAACATTGGTATCATGTTTTCAATCCAATTTACCAACCTGTGTCTCTTACTTGATGCCTTGAGACCACTGACCTTGAGTGAGATAATTGTTATGGGGGGGTTCGCGCCATCTTCCTTTAGAGGATTGTTGAGTTTGTGGGGGTTGTCTTGCCTTACAGGAGGCTCTTGAATGTTTCTATCAGAATTGGTTTTGATTATATGAAGTTCCTGATCTTTTATTTATCCTGGAATTAATCTGTGTATCATTTATTGTAATATGAATGAGAGTCTACTTGGGTAAATTATTCTTTGTGAAGCCTCCATTTCATTGTTTTATTTTAAAACTACATCCCACCATTGACTATTAACCTCAGGGAAGAAGGTTTCATTCCATTGGTCTCCTATAAATTTAAGGACAGCTACTCCAGTCTCCTGCCCCCGCACCTGGCTGTTCCTCACCGTGGCCCCTTGGAGGGAGCGGGTTGAGCTTTCCTCCCCGCCCCGACCAGGTCTCCGGCAGCCGACGACCTCCAGGACCAGACACCACCATGCTGAGACCACTCTCCGCACACCTGAAGGTACCGGCAGAGGGACAAAGCCACGTGGGTTCCAGGGCCGAGATCTCCAAGCCTACTCGGATTGGAGTTGAGCATCCTCCACCCAGATCCTCCAAATCCCGGGGGTCACACCCACCAACTGGCCCCCTGGCGCCGTGTAATCCCATCAGCGGCCAAGACTCAGAGACTATAAAAACCAGATCCCGGAGGGAGAAGAGTGCAGTCTCCTGCCCCCGCGCCTGGCTGTTCCTCGCCGTGGCCCCTTGGAGGGAGCAGGTTGAGCTTTCCTCCCTGTCCCGACCAGGTCTCCGGCAGCCGATGACCTCCAGGACCAGACACCACCATGCTGAGACTATAAAAACCAGACACCACCATGCTGAGACTATAAAAACCAGATCCCGGAACCGCGCGGCCGCATTCGTGACCGCGCGACATTTTATTATGACATCTCATTTCTACTTTGACAAACTGGCAGGCTCCCGAATGTAACCTGCCCACACGGCAGAGTCTGTCAAACTCCCTGTGTCGTACCCAATATGCCAAATACCAGTAACAATGATGGGTCTCATTCTCCTAAAGAGCCTTGGATATAATCTCAGGGCTAGGATGAAGGAGACGTTACTGGAGCCTGCTCGAGGCAATCGATGAATAACAGGATGATCTGTGATCTGTGACTCTCTTTGTAATTTACTTCTTTGATTTTGCTGTTCTCAGTATCTTATCTCTGTCTATGGTGTTCGTCATTCTGATTGGGAGATGTCTTGGAGCCTTTTTGTTAGGGCCCCTTTTAGCAGGTACCCTTTGGGCTTCTTGAATCTGGATGCCTGTCATTATGGACTCTGAGAACTGTTCAGCAATGATGTCTGTAACTGTTACTACCTCATTGAGGTTGCCTCCCTGTCTCTCTGGAACTCTGCGGATTCTTATGTTCCTTCTCCTTAATTCATCCTAGTCTTTATCTTTCTCTGTTCTGCCTTTAAGTTATTTTGAGGATTTTCATTGTAGTTGTAGTTGTCTGGATCTCTGGCTTTTCTGGATCTTGCCCTCAAACTCACTAATTTTTTCTTTGCCTGTTGTTTAACTGATGTTGAGATCACCCACTCAGTTTTTCATTTTGCATACTGAAATTTTTATCAATGCCCTTTCTGTTGTAGCGTCATCTGTGTTGCCCAAATGTAAATGAATTGGTTTGTTTTTATTTTTTCTTATTGAATATATGAGCAGGTCATCTGAAAGCATCAGATGATGCAACCACATAATGCATGCCTTCCTGAAGTATTGGTGTTACACAAATGGTTCTAATTTCAGGAGCAGATGTGACAGGTAGGAGGAAGGAAAGTGAGAGTTCTCTACATTGCTGGGAGAGAGATAGCAGGAAGGAAGCCAAGGAGACAGGCAGAAAGGGGCCGCAGCCACCTACTCTGCCATGCATTCTCTACCCGTCATGCTATTCAAGTGTTCGGCTCCCTGCTAGGGTCCAATGCTCCTTATAACTGACTTGGTCTGGGGTAGCACAGAATATTGAAATGGTTCACACCTGTATGTAAAATCAGAAGCAGTGGTGGAGATTCCTGGTCCTGAACAGCACAACCAGGAAAATATTTTTTAATATTTTAAAAATTATTTTGGGGGCTGGAGCGATAGCACAGTGGGTAGGGCATTTGCCTTGCACGCAGCCAACATGACCAACACAGGTTCGATTTCCAGCATCCCATATGGTCCCCCGAGCACCGCCAGGAACAATTCCTGAGTGCATGAGCCAGGAGTAACCCCTGGGCATTGCCGGGTGTGACCCAAAAAGCAAAAAAAAATATATTTTTGTACTCATTTTTAATTTAATTTTTATAAAGAAATTCACAGGAATTTATTACATTTAATACTCCAACATCAATTCCACTATCACTGGACCTTCTCACCACCATATTTTGAATGTTTCTACCCTGACCCAAATCCTTTCCAAAGCAGGACCTAAATAATTCATTTTGTATTGCTTGTTGTGAGTAATCCACTAAAAATGGCCCAAAAATTTCCTCGGAGAAAGTGTGTGAAATTGCGCCATTAAGTCCTTGTATAAGACATTACTACATTTTGTTTAAGGTTGAGTCTTGGGTGCATATATATGTACCTTTTCTTACTCCACGAGAAAGGTTACCGTCTACTTTGCACCCCATCCAATGTGGTGTGCTATGTTGGTACATCAGTGCCGTAGATTATGAGGTATTGCAAGGCCACTAATGTGGCCTGTATATCTGTATACACCTTGTATGTCTGCGTGTTTCCCATCAGCATAACCAGGAAGATCATTATTTAACTAATTATCATTCTTTCTCCTGTGTAACTTAGATCACTGCCCTGTTTACCAAAATTAATCACCGTTGCTACACTGACAATAGCTTTTAGTTTAGAGAATTTCCAAAATTTTATTATCTCTCTAGAAGTTATTTTAATATCTAGGATTGGGTGGTTGTTGATTGATCTGTTTTAGGTAGAGAAAGTTGAGATGAACCTGAATGGACTGAGAGATCTAATTGACGGAAATTCTGAAGAACACCAAAGACATGCTGGTGATGTTAATGACAGATGGGTTTGGAGGACGCAGAGCAGAGACCATGGAGGGACTGAAAGAGAGATGGAGGGAGAGAGGCAGAGTCACACTGAGGGATTGGCTGAGTACAGGTGAGGGGTGAGAGTGAGAGAGACAGGGTGATCTCAGCTGTGTGTCAATAGGTATCACATGAAGAGAGAGAGTGTGTGCATTAGAACTGGGACTGTGAAACACCAGGGAATTAGTAGATCTAGAATGTTCTGGGCAGTCATAGGAATGGAGGAAAGTAAGGTGAGAAATTGTGACTCATGGGAATCCTGCTGCTATGTTCACTGTTCACTATGGAAATGATTCTCTATCACATTGTGAGCTACTCATTCACATCAAATAATGGATATTTTATCTTACTCTCTCCTACTGCTATTTTACTTTTAATGTTGGTCTTTTTTAGGCCTTGTAAGTTAATGAAGGTATGCACTTTAATGGTGACCCTTCCCTTCCCTGCATGCACACATGTTCACACACAGACATGTAGGAATTGAGATGCTGCTATTCCCAGCAGGTATTTGGGGTCCGTGAGCAACACAGTAGGAAGCTGAGATGCTCCATAAACATTGGTGAGGGCAATGCCTGTTCCCTACTCAGGAGAGAGTCCAGATCCTGCTCCCCAGGAAGTTGGGGGACCCTTTTCTGATGTCAAGCCTCAGGCCCAGGACTGAAGAGGAAGCTGAGGAGCCCCAGGGGCCCCTTATCAAGGATAAACCGTGTTCATCTGAGATGACTCTTACCTGTAGCCAGTTGTTATGACCTAAATGGGCTTGGTACTCTTCCTCAGGTCACTCTGAGAGAGACTGCTCCCTGTGCAATGCTTGTCCCTCGGAGTTGCTTGAGTGAAGAATAGAATATCAATGGGAAAAGGCACCAGCATTAAGGATTTATCACTGGGCCCACACTCTAAGGGAATGTCTCTCTGAAACCCTAGGATACACGGGATGCTGTTGTCATGCAAATTCCATGACTGGGTATCACCCACCTGGCCCACCTGTGGGATGGACGACCATGGGGGCTCATCGTCTGTTGTGAAGGGGACTCTAACCGTAAAAGTGACCTCCTTTGTGATTTATGACAGAAAATAAGCCAGAAGAAAGAGGGCCGCAGAAAAACCCTATGGTGAATATAGTGATAAAGTGATGAAGAGAAGGAGGTGGATGGAGATGAGCCGGTGCTCTGACCATCATAAACCTCATTTTTTAGCATGAAGAATAAGTACCCTCAGCAACCTGAGGACGTCATGTCTTAGTCCATCTGTAGACCTGAGGATTCCAGGAGACTGACTTTTGGCTCATTGGAGGGATAAACCTCTATGTACTCGTAATGCAGAGAGAAAATGTCCTGTAAAACAAAAACAAAGGAATAAAAATTAGTTATTAGCAGGCTTGTTTCTCTTTATTCCTAAGGTACTGGCTTTCTTTGATAGAGTTCTGTGAAGTAAACGTGCCGTATCAAATTCGAGGACAACAGTGGAAGACGCAGAGTCAGAATGCTAGAAAGGACCTTAGATGAGAGGCAGAAAACCAGTCAGCCATCAGCTCCTGCTCTTCTGAGATGTTTCCTCTAGGTAGGGACCATAGCGCCACCTGCTTGCCGTGGTCTCCTGCAGTCCACACTCTCCCAGCAGGGAGGTTTGTGTCTGGGCTCGCCCTGACTTCCCCTCACTGTGTCTCTGGCACAGTAATACATGGCTGTGTCCTCGGGGGTCACTGAGCTCAGCTTCAGGAAGAACTGATTCTTGGAGGTGTCAGCAGTGATGGAGATGCGCCCCTGGAATGCTGGGTTGTAGCTGGTACCACCTGACCAGTACCCCATCCATTCCAACCCTTTCCCAGGGCGCTGGCGGATCCAATGCCAATAGTAACTGCTGGTGACAGAGCCCCCAGAGACAGTGCAGGTGAGGGAGAGGGTCTGGGAGGGCTTCACCAGGCCTGGGCCAGACTCCTGCAGGGTCAGAGCAGACACAGCACCTGGGGACAAGGGGAATCGGTCACTGTCAGTCCCTGCAGTCACTCCCTCCCCTAAACCCTGTCACATCTGGGATACTCACCCAGGGGGGCTGTCACCAGGCAGAGTAGAAGACTCTGCAGAATCATCTTCTCAACCACAGCTCTGCCTTCCCTAGAGACTCAGCACTGAGTGAGGAGACAACTGTGAGCTCCACAGCCCAGAGAGCATTTGACCCCAGAGCCTGAGAAGGATTTGCATGAGGTGACCAAGTCTATTATAAGGGTAAACTTTCTTACCTTGAATCTCCCTTTCCCATTGGGGCGCTTAACTCACACACTTTGGCTGGTGGATTGAGCACTTGCCAATGAAGCATTGAAACAGGTCATAGGAGGCTCCTCACTTATTTCAATAATCTGTCTCAGCAAGTTAAAATGATCACAATTATTTCAATTTCAAGTAGCTAATGAAAATAGTTTGCATTGTTTATGGTTCAAAAAAACTTTTAATATAACCACCGTTTAGAATGCTTATAATCATAATCATACTTAAATTTGTTTCATATCTGCGTCTCTACAAATAATGCCCAAATGAAAATCATCCCTCCCAGTATTTATTTCTTTCCATAAAAAATTATGACATAGTTATCTTATAACTCTTTACAAAGTACATAGTTAATAGAAAATGTCTTTTTGTGTTTTATTTTTGCTTTCTGTTTTGTGTCACATTCAGTGACACTTGGTGATAACTCATAGCTTTGCACTCAAGAATTACTCCTGGAAATGGCTGTTTCATTTTGGGCAGCCCAGGGGGTTCGGTTGAGGCCCGTCCTACTCCAACCAAACCAGCTCCAATAGCCAAAAACCTCCAGAACTCAGCTGCTGCCCTGCTCACAGCCACTCTCTACACACTTGGAGGGACCTTAGGAGTGAGTATATTCTTGGACATCACATACTTTATAACACAATGTACCAAGAGTAGCACATCACATTTGATGGGATACAAGTAGAAGGCAACCATCTCAGTGGGAAATATATTTACAGAGATGTATATATAATCATACAAGGCTTAATCTTTAACAATTTGTTACCAATCTATTATAGAAGGTTTTAATGACTGGATAAGGCTGGAGTGATAGCACAGCGGTAGGGTGTTCGCCTTACAAGCGGCCAACATGGCCGACCCGAGTTCAATTCATCCGCCCCTCTCGGAGAGCCCAACAAGCTACCGAGAGTATTCAATATGCCAAACACAGTAACAACAAAAAGTCTCCAATGGAGACGTTACTGGGCCCACTTGAGCAAATCGACGATCAATGGGAGGGTCTTAATGACTGGATGAAATACAACCTTCACACACTTTCTTCTAAAAAACCTTTTCTTTCATTTTTAGTGGACTATTCATAACAAGCAATACAAAATAAATTATATTGGTTTTGCTTTGAGGGCAGGGTTTGGGATTTGGAATGGAAAATATGGTAGTGAGAAGGTGAAATGGTGGTGGGATTGGTGTTTGAATATTGAATGTAATCAAATATTGTGAACAACTTTATCAAAATAAAATTAAATTAATAAAACAGAATTACTCCTGGTAGTGGTCAGGGGAACCATATGGGATATTGCGAATGACCCTTGTTGGTGAAGGCAAGAAAAGCACCCTACGAATTGTATTATCACTCTGGCTCTCTGATTTTTGCATTTTGGAGTTGGGGTCTACTGTGCATTATTTTGGGGTAGAAATTTATTTTAGATTATATTTAAATGATCACGATCTTGACCATTCTGTTGTTCGTCGATTGCCTTGAGCAGGCTCCAGTAACGTCTCCTTCGTCCTAGCCCTGAGATTTTTTAAAAAGTGCCATATTCAAGGCTCTTTCAGGGTTAGGAGAATGAGACCCATCGTTATTACTGGTATTTAGCATATTAGGTACACCACGGGGAGTTTGCCAGACTCTGCCGTGTGGGCAGGTTACATTCGGTAGCCTGCCAGTTTGTCCAAAGTAGAAATGAGATAATAAGATGTCGCGCAGCCACGAATGCAGCCGCACTCTTCCGGGAGCTGGGTTTTATAGTCTCTGGGTCTTGGCCGTTGATGGGATTACACGGCGCCAGAGGGCCAGTTGGTGGGTGTGACCCCTGCCTACCAGAATTTGGAGGATCTGGGTGGAGAATGCTCAGTCCAGATCCGAGCAGGCTTAGAGATCTCAGCCCCAGGACCTGCATGCCTGTGTCCCTCTGCCGGTACCTTCATGCATGTGGAGAATGGTCTCAGCATGGTGGTGGCTGGTTCTGGAGGTCTTCGGCTGCCAGAGCCCTGGTCGGGGCGGGGAGGGAAACTCAACCCGCTCCCTTCCAAGAGACCCCGGAGAGGACAGCCAGGCATGGGGGCAGGAGACTCTGCGCTGTTCTCTTCCAGGAGCTGGCTTTTATAGTCTCTGGGTCTTGGCCATTGATGGGATTTAAACAGTTCCATATGTTTCTTTTAAATTTTTCATGGAATCTGTAGTTTTTCTAACTTTCAAAAATTTATCCACAGCTGCCCTGTCTCAGTATTTCCACTGAAGTCACTCTGCTTCTGTCCATATCTGTGCATCTTTCATCTCTATCAGAGCTTGGGTGTCCCTGCTCAGGGGTCCTGTTGTTCCCACCCTTGTCACCCTCCACCAGGGCCACGGTCGGTTCTTTTGCTCCATCAGGTGACTCTGACATCTAACATTAAATGACACTGAAGTAGAACACTTTGTTCGTAAGGCGATCCAGAATGTCATCTTGCTCCTCAATTTCTGTCTGCATCCCAAGTTCTAGGACCTTCAGTTGGCCCAGTCCTAAGGAGAGCTCATCTAGATTATTGTCAATCTTCTGATGATAGGCTTGGAGTTGAGCATTCTTTGGGTAAACCTCGGAAGTCACAGCAGAGCCAGTTCCACTAAGGATAGGGTCGAAGTCATTCAACTTCCTGAGGTTTGGGTGGCTGTCCTGGTATGCTGCATCTTGTTCTTTACTTGTACTGATGGATTCTTTCAACCTGGTGCTGGGCTGGGAGGGGAGATTGCCATTCTGCTGAAGTGGGACCTCTGCCGGTTTGGGTTTGTAATAATTGACAAGCCCCCCAAACACACTCTTAATGCTGTTTATATGCTTTTGACTGGTTTTCAGACCTTAATCCATCTTGTCTACCATCTTCTCTGTGTGTTCTAAGACTCCTCGCTGGCGGACAAGCTCCTCGGAGGTGGTCATCACTATCTTCTCAGACTTGTACACCAGGGCCAAGGACCGTCCCGAGCTGGCGGCCGTGGCCTCGGCGCGCCGCATCAGCTCCTGCTGCAGGTAGAGCTGCCGGTCCGGACACTACCTCGACTACCCAGCCGCCGCCACACTCCAGGACGCTTTCCGGACCCGCGCGACCCACGTGAAACATCAAAAGACACTAAATACCCAAATTCCGGAATTGTCGTACCATAGTTTTCATTTTCATTTCATTTTTCAATTCATCATCCTGTTATTCGTCGATTGCCTCGAGCAGGCCCCAGTAACGTCTCTTTCATCCTAGCCCTGAGATTATATTCAAGGCTCTTTAGGAAAATGAGACCCATCATTGTTACTGGTATTTGGCATATTTGGTACGCCACGGGGAGTTTGCCAGACTCTGCCCTGTGGGCAGGCTACATTCAATAGCCTGCAAGTTTGTCCAAAGTAGGAATGAGATAATAAGATGTCATAAAAAGATGTCCTAATTAGATGTCTCACGGCCGCGGATGCAGCCGCACGGTTCCGGGAGCTGGATTTTATAGTCTCTGAGTCTTGGCCGTTGATGGAATTACACGGCGCCAGGGGGCCAGGTGGTGGGTGTGACCCCGCCTACTGGGATTTGGAGGATCTGCGTGGAAGATGCTCGACTCCAGTCCGAGTAGGCTTGGAGATCTTGGCCCCAGAACCCGCGTGGCTTTGTCCCTCTGCCAGTACCTTCATGTGTGTGGAGAGTGGTCTCAGCATGGTGGTGGCTGGTCCTGGAGGTCTTCGGCTGCCGGAGCCCTGGTCGGGGTGGGGAGGAAAGCTCAACCCGCTCCCCTCCAAGGGGCCTTGGCGAGGAACAGCCAGGCGCGGGGGCAAAAGACTGCACTGTTCTCGTCCGGGACCTGGATTTTATAGTCTCTGAGTCTTGGCCGTTGATGGGATTACACGGCGCCAGGAGGCCAGGTGGTGGGTGTGACTCCCGCCTACTGGGATTTGGAGGATCTGGGTGGAAGATGCTCGACTCCAGTCCGAGTAGGCTTGGAGATCTCGGCCCCGGAACCCACGTTGCTTTGTCTCTCTGCCAGTACCTTCATATTTGCGGAGAGTGGTCTCAGAATGGTGGTGGCTGGTCCTGGAGGTTTCGGCTGCCAGAGCCCTGGTCGCCGCGGGGAGGAAAGCTCAACCCGCTCCCCTCCAAGGGGCCTCGGCGAGGAACAGCCAGGCGCGGGGGCAGAAGACTGGGGTTCAATTATGGTAACACCTACGAGGGCTATTAGAGGATGCCCCAAAAGCCTCTATCCCTCTCAGAAAGACTGGCAAGCTACCGAGAGTATTCTGCCTGCACAGAAGAGCCTGGAAAGCTATCCGTTGTGTATTTCATATGCCAAAAGCAGTAATTACAATGGGTCTCAATCACCTGACTCTGAAGGCTTCACCAACATGGCAGCACTGAGAAGGATGAGAAAGGAGAGGCCGATAAAATCTCAAGGCCGAACTAGGCTGCCACAATGAAGGAAGACAAAAATGATCGTCTGTATTTTCAATGTACATACGCTAGCATCAGATGTATCCATCGAGGACTTGATGGTACAAGCGCAAATGATCAAGTACGACATCATTGGTCTGACCGAGACAAGAAGGCACGAATATCACCATCACTTAATCACTTAATCACTTAATCCCCGTTATTCATCGATTTATTCGAGCGGGTGCCAGTAACATCTCCATTCATCCCGGTTGCGTGCTAGCGTAGCCCAATGGTATCTGTTCGTTTTAGGAACATGTAGAGC